ACTCGCATGATCAGGGGGCAGCAGGGCAGGCCCTACGAGGAGAGGCTATGGGACCTGAACCTGTTCAGCCTCCACAAGAGACGACTGAGGGGGGATCTAGTGGCCTGTTACAAACTAGTCGGAGGGGACCAGCAGGCACTGGGGGAGTCCCTGCTCCCCCAAGTACTACCAGGAGTGACCAGGAATAATGGTCACAAGTTGGCAGAGGGTAGATTTAGGCTAGATATCAGGAGGCGCTACTTCACGGTCAGAGTAGCTAGGATCTGGAACCAACTTCCAAGAGAAGTGGTGCAGGCTCCTACCCTGGGGGTTTTTAAGAGGAGGTTAGATGAACACCTTGCTGGGGTCATTTGACCCCAGTACTGTTTCCTGCCATGGTAGGGCGTCGGACTCGATGATCTGCTCAGGTCCCTTCCGACCCGACCAACTATGAAACTATGAAACTTAATTGTCAGAGAGTACACACAAATGTGGAGCAGAGTCAATTTAAATGCGGTGCAAGATAATAAACCTTTGAGGTGTGTTATCTTGAGTTGCATTAGTTAAATTGACTTAGCTCACAAGATGGCTACTACCATGTCAATGAGCTGTACCTGTATATGCTCTGATGTGGCTTAAGTTGTCTTGGTTAAATCGCCTTATTTTAAGTTGACTTAGTACGTGAGCACACACCCTTAGAGATGAGACTTCAATAGAGCAGGGCCATATATCGCCCCTCTTCTTTCCCCCAAAATCCAAGTGATTATCAGCCTCATTTAACTGGTGTTATCACCCAGAGCTGTCAGGCACCCTTGGCTCAAATCCTGGAAGGAAAGTCTCAGCCTTTCTTTCCATGATAGACAACTTGTGCTGTATGCATTTTACTGGATTTTTTCACTTCCTTCTTTGAAGAACTTTTTAAAAAGGGGTTCACTTCACAATGACTCAAATGTCTCCAATATTGTTAGCTCCAGCTTTTAGATGAGGCCTTAAAATCTAGCCCTCTTTGCTGCTGTGTGCAGACACTGGAGATCCCATCTCTTTAGACTGGGATTTTGGCTAAGGCAAAGGTCTGTGGAGGCAAGGCTTGCATTGGATCCCATTGGCTACTTTACTATATGCATGTGCCATGTGTACTGTAGTTTGGAATCATCCAGGCTGAAAGCTGCTGTGTAACGATACTCCATTAATTTTCATACTAAAATAAGAAACACACAGACATCACAACAATTTGATGTTAAGCGGTTGAATAGTTCCAAGATCACTTGTTATTTCTATTAGAAGCTTGTGGAAGCAGAACAAAATTTGGGGCGTGTGCGCACACAGCACAGTAGGGCTCTTAACTCTCATTGTGGCTGTAGGTCATCAGTCCCAAACCTCCCTGGTCTACAAACAACAGCACTGAATAACACCCTGTGGCTGATGTCAGACTTTGATGTCAGCCTGAAGAAACTGGAAAGCAAAATTGCTCATGGCAGTAAGCAACATTGGAGGGTCTTGCAAATAAAGTATCACCCATGAGCAATGCGTGGGGGAATGTTACACTAGGCACCGACACAATAGACAGAGGTAATAATAATAATACATTCAGAAGGCAAACCAGTCTCCTATTCTTTTTGTACTAAAGTTTGGAGATGTTTAATAGAGCAAAGATATAGTAGTAGTAGTAAAGATGATGATGATATCACCTATGTTTTAAACGTTGTTACCATGAAATATCCTCTCACTGGACATTTGCAATAACGGACGCAGTGCCAAGCTCAGGATATTTGTGCGCTAACAAGAACATTTCAAAGTTCCCGACTCTCTTATGATGAATCCTATAGGGGCTGCCTGCCACCCAGAGACTGTGTATCACCAACGCCCTACTGCAACTACTGCTGCTGAAGTTATTCGATGGACCACTGACCTTCTGCTAACCATACGCTGTGCTGCAATAGCCAAAATAAATGGGGTTCTGCCACGCTGTGATGTCTACTGAGACAAATGGTTTGTTGTGTCTGACTCAGTGGGATGACGCTTTCCCTAGCTGCAGCCATACTTTGAAAAACAACTACTTTCACTTGTGGATTCGTTAGTTCACCAACACAAACGTCACCTCCTTTTGAGTTTGGTTTGGTTTCTTACAAGTACACGCAAGTAAAGTCTTGAACAACATCAAAGCAACCTTCTGCTCTTTAGAGCAGTGAGTCTCAACCAGGGTGGCATGGGATCCTTTTAAGGGTACTCTGTGTTATTAGCACAATTCGGTGTGCAAACGTCTACCCGTAACTGACAAGATAAACCCAAAGGTTTCCAGTTGGCACCCACAGTGCCAAAACCATACTGTCTTGTTGCAGCCTCCTTCAGTTCTTTGCTACAGAATTGCTCTGTATTTTGTATTGTATTTTCCATAGTCAAAAAATGAGTGAAAGTGAAGAGCTGACATTTTCTGAGGAGACTTGAGCCTAGAAAGGGTTGAGAACCAGTACCCTAGAGCAGGGGTATCAAGCATTCAGACTGTGGGCCAGATTTGGCCTGCAGAGCCTCTCTCCGGCTCACTGGGCTACCAGCGAGCTACCAGATGCTGGGGGCATGGCCGTCAGTAGCAAACTTTGCTTGCCACTGCTGCCCTTGGAGTTGCTACCCCCCGGACCCCTTGCCACCACACGTGCAGTGGCCACTGTGGTAGCCCTCATGCCTCAGGCTGGACCAGATCCAATCTGGGGCCCCAGCTGAGTTTGACACCCCTGCTCTAGAGCATTAATGAAATTTGTACCGGAGCAGCACTTCGCAACCAGCAAGCCTTGCAGGACCACTGCTGGGTTGCAAAGGTAGATACTAGGGCTGGAGGGGATGGAGTTGGAAATCACCTTTAGGGTGTAGCTGTGGGTAGGCAAATTAGCTTTGCTGACAGGCAGCACTAATTGGTTTGGGGATAGTGCTGCACAAACTTGGCTATACTGCTTCTAGTCCAGAGGTGGTGCAGGTGTTTGTGGCATACCTGGCTACTGGCCCATGTAGGAGGTGGGCTGCAGTGCTGCATGTGGGGCTGAGGAGGGGGGCAGGTTGCATGATTAAAGGGGTTTAGAACAGTTTGGGCCCCGTGGGCTGGAGGAGTGGTGCTGGGTCAGTCTGTGGGCCTGATCTGGCACCGCTTGGTTTGTGCACCTTGTTCAGGTCCACTGCCCCAGCTCTGGCCCCAACCCCGCAGCCTCACCCAGTGCCCTGGCCCTACATGTGGCAGATTAGGCCCACCACTTCAGCCCCAGCCTTCATGATGGATCAGGTCCGCTGCCTTGGCTCCAACTATGCCAACTAAATTCAGAGCATGGGGCCATGACATCTGTGGGGCTTGGAAATTTGGCAGCAGGGGAGCAGTAGCAGTGATAATTGCCACTGTTCCTCCTCTGCCAAATTTCCAGAGCTGTTGGGAGCCCCACAGGCCAGATCACACAGCTCCATAGGCCACATCTAGTCCATGGGCTGGGGCTTGGGCACCCCTGGTTTGGAACCACTAGCCTAGGGGGTATTTGTTCAGGAAAACATTAGCAGCTCTAGCTGGTGTTTGCACTTGCCTGACACATACCACAACAGACGGTGAGGAAAGTAAAGGAGGGGAATAAAAGTAATGGTTAAGAATCACTCAAGCTGTCCTAAACAAAGCTCAAGCAAGCCCAGTTGATTTCACCATTTGCTATTTTCCCTTGGGTTTGCTTTGAAACATACCCAACTTATTGCAGCTTGTATCTTAGAGCCAAGCAGTTGGGGTGTACACAGAAACAAGCAATAATGATGCACCTCTGGGAATGGGTCTTCGCTGCTGCTGTAAAGCCTGTACAGGTGTAGGTTACACAAAAGGGCTTGGGACTGCAAGGTAGTTGTCTTACAAGAGCCTTATTTTTAATTCCCAGTATAGTTATTATCCAAATGAACTTCCTTAAGATGTATTGAGAGATCAGAGCAAGTTCTGAGGCCATCATACTTTCTTCACGTCTAGTGAGAAGCCATTAATAAGCATAAGCAGTGATGGACCTGACCCGACTGAGTCAGGTAAAGAAAATAAGTCAAGAGTTTGCCCTGGAGACTGTGAAATACAGCCCTAGAGAGCTGCCTGGTAGGAAGAAGGGCATGTTAACTAAGCGTCAATCAAATTGTGGGAGCTTGTTTAGGCAAGTGACGCTCTAGGAATTACTTTCTGATGCTGCAGCAAGCAAAGGCTGTGCCTATGAGAAAATGGTATCACTCCGGGATTCAAAAGCATGGGATCAGTCTGGACCAGATGCAATTTATTAGGAGCACATTTGGGAAACTGATATGAGAGCAGCTGCATGATGGAAAAAGAAAAATCTAATGGTGACAGCAACAAAAGGTTTACATGCTTCAGCCCCTAAAAATTATGAAACAGGTTTGAACTAAAGGAGGGGCAACATGTGCTTAAAAACATGGCCCAAAGTGGTTCTCAAACTTTTTAGATCCCCTTGGGAAGTACCAGCTCTTAGTTCCACTCGTTTTTTGAGTACAGAAAATACTAGAGTGATTCTTCTGTTGCAAAGAACTCAGGAAGCCCACAACAGGCCAAGATGATTTTGACACTGTGGATTCCCATTTGAGATCTCTAGGTTTATCTTATGAGTCACATATAAGTGTTTGCAGGCCTAGCACTGCTAATATTGTGCGGCACCCTAAGGATTGCATGGCATCAGTTGAGAATCACCGAATTAAGCTGTTGGCCCAACTCCTTTCACCATCAACAGCAGCAGGGAGGATGTAACAGTTCGCACAAAGAGGATGAACAGGATTCGTGAGTTAAGTGTTAGACAATTTTCAGGCAAGGTTATTTGGGTAAATCTGATACCCAACCAACTCACATACTTGGCAAAGTTCTTCGTAGCAAGCTTTTGGGTATAAATACCCTTTATCAGGCTGAGGAAGCATCTGCAGTTGGTGTGTGCTCTTCCTGGGTGGACTGAATAGTAAAGAAGCCCGATGCTGGGCTGCATGCAAGAAAGGCAGTCAGCAAAGATGTAAATAGAGGAGTCTGTGACACCCAGAACCAGACAGATTAATAAGCAATAAATATATGCTTCTTAGAGGCATTTCGTATTTTGCCTAAACAGGTAATATTGGTTAGTATAAAGTGTGTAAGTTTGTAAACTGCAAATGTAACTTGTCTGTCATAAGTTTAACCAAAATGATAAAATTAACTGTTCGTGGAACTGACTGGGCCCCATAGGCAAAGCCGTAGATGTGAGATTAGCTGACATAATGGTTTCTGCTCAGGGTTCAGCTTTGATGATCAAAAACTGGATCCAACTGCTTGGCACACCCAACACATTCCAGGAAAGTACATCCCAAGAAAGCGTATTCAAACGAAACCTAAAGGGGTTGGGGCTTAGGCAGAGCAATGTCTATTTCAAACCTAAAGGTGCTGCATTATAATTTGCTTATTGGATAAACCCGAGTCTGGGTAGTAACCTTTTATATTTTTTAACACCTTTCAATCCCATAGGGCAACATTGTGAGTGGCTCTAAAGCCAACAGATTAGCATAAGACTAGGTATACAAAGTGTGTGTGTCAGGTGATCAGCAGGAAGGAGGGAACAGAATGGTCATTTCTGTTCCACGCCTGGACCCCGGACTCCTGGTGCGAGTGAGGATTGGATCCTGATCAAGGGACCTTCCCCAGTAATCCCTCTGATAGCGTCAATCAGGGACGCCTCACTTCGCTGGAATCACTTGACATGTACTGGGCATTAAGGGACTGTCAATAAGTTGTCAACCCATGTCTGTCTGTCTGTTGTTTTGAACAGCCCAATGGCTAATACCCTCGCAGTGCCCAGTTGACCTGCAACAGAATTGATCTATCTGTTGTTATTATCTGTTATTTACTATTAGCTCTTTAATACTGCATTATCTGCTTATCGCATTTATCTTTCTGTTAACTGTTGTGTGTAAGCTATAAATTTGCCTTTACTTCACTCCCAACTTTGCCTCCTTGATCCGAAACTGAATCAAACAGCCCAGTTGGCCTGTGATAAAATTGAGACACTCACAGTGCCCAGCAGGCCTGTGACAGGAGTCAGTGAGAGACAGGCTGGGGTGGAGAGGGAGAAAGGGGAATAAATGTAGCTGGTAAATAGTGAAGAGGTACCTGGGGAGTCAGGTATTAGGGAGGTTATAATGTGTCATAAATCCAATGTCTATATTTAGTCTGTTGATTTTTTTGTATCAAGGATTTTTTGTTTCAAGACAATTTTCAGGCATCTGTCTAGGGCTACAGCTTAGCACTGCAGCAGTCAGCAAGTCTGAGGGACAGATGCACCCACAGGTCAACAAGTTCCCATTTAAATGTAAAAATCAGGCATTCAATGCTCACATCGGGTTGTGAGCACCACAGAACCCGAGATCCCAGCTGATGCTCGGTACCTTTGGTAAAAACCCAACTTAGAGCATTCGTGTTGCCGAGTATTTGGTTGTAGCTGTGTTGGTCTAAGAACACTGTCAGGAGAGATTCTTTGAGTAGACGCAGTATCTTTTATTCGATCAGCTAAGTAATTGGAAAAAAGTTCTTAGCAAGCTTTTGGGCACAGTCACCCTTCATGGGGCACAGGGAGTCTCTGCTGGTCTGACACCAAGGAATGAGAAAAGCTAAAAGTATGGAGGGATGTCAGTGAACATGTAAATAGGTAGAGATAAGCAAGACAAATGGTAAAGCAGGGGAGGGGGAGAGAAAAAAAAAGGTCAGAAGTAGACAACACAGATGCATCTCGAGCAGGTCCAAGGAGGGGATCCTCCCCCTCTATACGACACTGGTCAGGCCACAGCTGGAGTACTGCGTCCAGTTCTGGGCACCGCACTTCAGGAGGGATGTGGACAACATGGAGAGGGTCCAGAGGAGGGCCACTCGCATGATCAGGGGGCAGCAGGGCAGGCCCTACGAGGAGAGGCTAGGGGACCTGAACCCGTTCAGCCTCCACAAGAGAAGGCTG